GGATGCCGGACCGCCCGGAGGGCGGAGCGCGGCCCTCCTTTCCTACCCCTTGTCCTCCTCGTCCTCGTCGTCGTCGTCGTCGTCCTCCTCCTCCTCCTCCTCCTCCTCCTCCTCCTCCTCCTCCTCCTCCTCCTCCTCCTCCTCCTCCTCCCTCCTCCTCCTCCTCCTCCTGATCCTGATCCTCCTCCTCCTCCTCCTCCTCTCCTCCTCCTCCTCCTCCCTCCTCCTCCTCCTCCTCCTCCTCCTCCTCCTCCTCCTCTCTCTCTCCTTCCTCCTCCTCTCCTCCTCCTCCCTCCTCCTCCTCCTCCTCCTCCTCCTCCTCCTCCTCCTCCTCCTCCTGCTCCTCGTCCTCCTCCTCATCCTCCTCCTTCTCCTCCTCCTGCTCCTCCTCCTCCTCCTCCTCCTCCTCCTCCTCCTCCTCCTCCTTGTCGTCGTCCTCCTCCTCTTCCTCCTCCTCCTCCTCCTCCTCCTCCTCCTCCTCCTCCTCCTCCTCCTCCTCCTCATGCTCCTCCTCCTCCTCGACCGTCCACTAGGCGATCTGGCAGAATCAGGACCGGGACCGAACCGGAACAAGAACCGGAACGAACCGGAAACGAAAATGTGGCGAACCGAACCGAACCGCACCGGAAGGATTACGACACCGAACCGAACCGAACCGAAGGCACTTCGGAACCTAAGCGGACCGAACCGAACAGGATCTTTCCTGAATCTTCTTCTTGTTGGGACAATGAGCCCGCGACCGTGCCTCTGGGCATAGAGTGGGCGTGTCCTCAGGTCCTTTGCCTAATCCTCCAAACCTTCGTCCTCACTCATGAGGAGTCACCAAGGGGGCCCATGGGCACAGAGTGGGCGTGTCCTCAGGTCCTTTGCCTAGTCCTCTAAACCTTCGTCCTCACTCCCGAGGAGTCACCAAGGGGGGCCCAGGCCCCAACTTCTCAACTCCCCCAGGGCTTCCCGCGTGCCCCCCTGGGGCCTTCCGCGTTGCCCCTGGGGCTTTGCCGAGTGGTGGCGTGTGACCTTTCTTCGGGCCCAAGAGGGCCCCAAGACGGGCCATGAGGGCCCCAAGAGGCCCCGAAGATGGTCCAAGAGGGCCCCAAATCGCCGAACGATCGCTCCACGCTCAAGATGGCCCCCAGACGGCCCAGAAGGCTTAAAGACGCCCAAGAGGCCTCCAATAGGCCTCACGAAAGGGCCCCAGGAAGCCAAAATCATTGATTTCCCATCGGTTTTTGAAGGATTTTAGCGTTCTCGCCTTTGCGGCTTCCCGACGCTCCCAGACGGACCTAGAGGCCCCCAAGACCGCTCCAAGACGGCCCAAGAGGCCTCCGAGAGGGCCCCAAAACCGCCCCAAGAAGGCCCAAGAGGGCCCCAAGCTGGCATCAAAAGGGGCCCACGAGAGGGAGCACGAACCGAAGAATCTAGCTTTCCACCCCAAGAGGCCCCCAGGAGGAGGCCCCAGGAGGCACTACGAGGCGCCCAGGAGGGCCCAGGAGGCCCTCAAGAGGCCACGAAGAGGCCCAAAGAGGCTCCCAGGAGACCCAAAAAAGTGGCCCTAAGAAGTAACAAAACGGCCCCCAAGCGGCCTCCAAACTGCCGCCAAGAGGCCCCCGAGAGGCCTCCCACGAGACCCCAACGAACATCCAATAGGCTTCGTATCCACAAACTAAACACAACGGCGTGATGGGCCGAGGGCCATTCGATACGTGTAGTGCTCTAGCTAGTTTACCGTGAACCTTCCGCCATTAGTTCCCTACCTAGGCTCTGCCTAGAAGGGTTCTTACTCGCGTGGCTTAAAGGGGCGGGGCAGTGCAAACCGCCCCGGGCGGTTCCCCCAGTCCCCTGGGAGCCAAGCAAAAGCAACTGCAAAGGTAAAAGCAAACGCGCGGTTCCCCCAGTTGCGCTCCCCGGGTGCCAAGCAAAAGCAAAAGCAAAGGCAAAAGTGAAGACAAAAGCGAAGGCAAAAGCGAAGGCAAAGCAAAAGCATAGCATAGCATAGCATAGCATAGCATAGCATATCATATCATAGCGCAGCATAGCATAGCGCAGCATAGCATAGCGCAGCGTAGCATAGCATAGCATAGCCTAGCCTAGCCTAGCCCAGCATAGCATTGCGCAGCATAGCATAGCCGAGCAGAGCAGAGCAGAGCAGAGCATAGCATAACAGAGCATAGCATAGCATAGCGCAGCACAGCATCCACTATTGCTGCTGGCAAAGCAAAAGCAAAACCAAGCAAAAGCAAAAACAAAAGCAAAGCAACAGCAACAGCGAAAACAAAAGCAAAAGCAAAGGCAAAGGCAAGAGCAAAAGCAAAGGCAAGAGCAAAAGCCAAGGCAATGCAAAGCAAACGCAAAACCAATGCGAAAGTGTAGATGTAGATGTAGGTGCAGGTGTAGGTGTAGATGTAGATGTAGATGTAGATGTAGATGTAGATGTAGATGTAGATGTAGATGTAGATGTAGATGTAGATGTAGATGTAGATGTAGATGTAGATGTAGATGTAGATGTAGATGTAGATGTAGATGTAGATGTAGATGTAGATGTAGATGTAGATGTAGATGTAGATGTAGATGTAGATGTAGATGTAGATGTAGATGTAGATGTAGATGTAGATGTAGATGTAGATGTAGATGTAGATGTAGATGTAGATGTAGATGTAGATGTAGATGTAGATGTAGATGTAGATGTAGATGTAGATGTAGATGTAGATGTAGATGTAGATGTAGATGTAGATGTAGATGTAGATGTAGATGTAGATGTAGATGTAGATGTAGATGTAGATGTAGATGTAGATGTAGATGTAGATGTAGATGTAGATGTAGATGTAGATGTAGATGTAGATGTAGATGTAGATGTAGATGTAGATGTAGATGTAGATGTGTAGATGTAGATGTAGATGTAGATGTAGATGTAGATGTAGATGTAGATGTAGATGTAGATGTAGATGTAGATGTAGATGTAGATGTAGATGTAGATGTAGATGTAGATGTAGATGTAGATGTAGATGTAGATGTAGATGTAGATGTAGATGTAGATGTAGATGTAGATGTAGGTGTAGGTGTATGTGTAGATGTAGATGTGAGTCTCGCTGTTGATGTAAATGTAGATGTAGATGCAGGTGTAGATGTAGATGTAGTTGTAGGTGTAGATGTAGATGTAGGTCTAGATGTAGATGTAGGTGTCGATGTAGATGTGGGTGTAGATATAGATGTAGATGTAAAGAACTCTCCAGTGCCCCGCCCTCATGACCGTGCCTGCTTGCTTTTGCTGCTGTCTCGGCGGCTTGCTGCCTGCTTCTGCTGCTGCTTCACTTACGGCGTGGCGTCGGCGGTTCTGGCGCTACTACTACTACTACTACTACTACTACTACTACTACTACTACTACTACTACTACTACTACTACTACTACTACTACTACTACTACTACTACTACTACTACTACTACTACTACTACTACTACTACTACTACTACTACTACTACTACTACTACTACTACTACTACTACTACTACTACTACTACTACTACTACTACTACTACTACTACTACTACTACTACTACTACTACTACTACTACTACTACTACTACTACTACTACTACTACTACTACTACTACTACTACTACTACTACTACTACTACTACTACTACTACTACTACTACTACTACTACTACTACTACTACTACTACTACTACTACTACTACTACTACTGCTACAACTACGACGATGAGGAGAAGGAGGAGGACGGCGTTTACCGCTCCTACTAATGTTGCTTTCCTAGAGGCTCCAACTCCTAGGTAGGGTCGCACTGGGATAATGTGTTCTCCTTCTGATCGGGTTCCTCTTTCTGCTCGTGCCCTGACACCTCGTGCAGATGCGTTTCCCCTTCCTCCTTCTACTCCATCCTCGGTCTCCCAGACCCTACCTCGCGCAAGACACGTCGGTCTCTAATGCCAGCACCTCGACCTCAAACGCCGACGAGACACCACTCACCGCGAGCCACAAGGGAACAGGGTCCTGATGGAAATGGCCCTAGCCTTTCCCAGGATCGCCTTCTCGTCATGAGTCGTTTGCTGACGGTCCCGGGTTTCAGGAGGGCCCCCCCTGGGGGGTGGTGGGGGGGGGTGCAAAACCTGTCACAAATCTGAAGGCCCCTTTGCCTCGGGACCTTCTTTCTTGATTGATTAGTAAGAAAAAAGACCCGTAACCCTTTGGGTGGGGACCTAAGGTAGGGGGGCCAAAAACATTAGGGATAGGGGGTCTTTTCTGCAGACGCATCGAGCCCCCCAAGAATTACTACCCCTAATGCAAAGACGGGGACCTGAGTGACGCTACAACTTCATCGTGTAATCAGGGTTAGGGGCTCTTTTATCCTCAATGCTTCGCGGTGCACCACTGGAGGCGGCCTCCATGGGGCCGGAGCAGGTGCGGCCGGAGGCCCGCGCCGCACTGGCGACGCATCGCAGATACATCCGCCGATGCATCGGTGACATCAGCACGGAAGACAAGGCCCAGGACCGAGACGCATGGCCGATGCGTCGCCGATGCGGCCCCATCCTCTCGTGCCCCATTTGCTACGACCCCATTCCGGTGGCCTGGACAGGGGGCCCACAAAAGACGCACACGCCCAGCCGCGCTCAGGAACACGGCCCCGCAGCCTGCGAGCCAAGCCTCGCGTCACGCACGCTGGCGCAACGCACGCTCGCGAAACCTACAGGAAAGACCATGCTTTTGGCATTGCGGCCACGCGCGGCGTCGCGGCGCAGGCAGTCAAGCGGGAGAACGCGAGCGGCCGGGCCACAGCACGCGGCGTGGGAGCCAGGGATCACCCAATAGGGTATCGACCGGGTCGCTCGCGGTGGGGCGTGAGGGGGTAGGGAAGGAGGGAGAGGGGGAGAGGGGCAGCAAGTGGAGGTGCGCAGTGCGACCATGTGCACGCACGTTCTTGTCCCGCTCATGGCTTGAACCATCTTCTCCCCTCCTCGATCGCGGGCCCCTGGCGCAGCCTTCTCCTCGAGTAGGCCCTTGGCAAGGTCGTCGCAACCCGCCGCCACCGCGTTGTGCAGCGGCGTGCGTCCCAGCTTGTCCTGTGGCGGTGCGACGGCGGTTCCCGATCAGAGGGGCGGAGCACCGGTACAGCAGACGCATACAATAAGACGTATTGCTTGCAGAAATCGATGGGCACAGTCTTCGTCGATCCCTGAAGGTCCTGAGGTGCACCCAGAGCGTCTGTGGCCCCCAAGGCAATCTTCGGACAAGACAGTTCCGTGGGGCATCTGCTGGCAAACCAGTTTTTTATGAGATGTTCCTGGCCACAGAGCAGAACTGGCTCCGCGAGCCCTTATATGGCAAGATGGCTCTGAGACCGCCAGGAGGCCAATCAGAAGCGCCCAAGAAGAAGAAGAGGAGGAAGAGGAGAAGGACCAGTGCACACCCAAGATCCACAAAAATGTTGCAATAACCCTTCCCTCGAAGTTCCCTTTTAGAAGGCTCTGGAAAAACCATGCTAGAAGAGAACCACTAGAACAAATCTTCAGCCGTGCCTAACCACCATATCTGGGACTTCAACGCCACGAATCAACGTCACTGTTGATACCTGATGTGCCAGAACACTATTTTCTGGGACGTGGACACCGCGAATCAATGTGACTGCCGAGCCCTGGCAATCCTAAATCGCACTAAAAAACCAGCTCTGGGGCGTCAACCATCATAATCCTTGAAACTGCTGTAAACTGTTAAGACGAATGCGCGCGGCGCTGAGGCGATAACCACATTTTGGAAAATGAGCCGCCCTCCATCCGCGAAGCTCCTGCAAACTTTAAAATCAAATGCGCGTGGCGCTAAAGCGGGAGCCACATTAAAAAAACGGTCCTCGTTCCATCCGTGAAACTCTTGCACAGACGTTGAAGACGAATGTGTGCGGCGAGTGTGCGGTGCTAAGGCGATAACGACATTTCGAACACAGCCCGCCCTGACATCCGTGAAACCGCTGCGAACGTTTACGGCGAATGTGCGCGGCGCTAAGGCGAGCTCTTCATCCATGAAGCTATTGCAAGTGTCAAGTTCCATGCCCATACATGGCCAAAAGTCCGCCGACCCCTTGGAGTCACGGCGTGTGAGCTGCTTCCCCCGGTCCGGCCAATTTGGAGGGGGGGGGGGGGGGGGCAAAGGTGCCGGCCGCACCCTTGGAGCCTCAGGGGGCCCCAAAACAGGCCAAGGGGGCCCCCAAAAGGCCCCCCAGACGGTCCAAGAGGGCTACGAGTCGCCGAAAAAACGCCCTCAGACGCACAAGATTGCCTCCAGACGGTCCCAGAGGCCCCCAAGACGCCCCAAGAAGCCGCCAAGAGGCGTCCCAATAAGCCCTCCAGAAGCAGAAATCGTCCCTTTCCTAGGAGAAACGGATAATTTTACCACATTCGCCTCTTGGGCTTTCACGAGGCCCACAAAAGCCCAAGAACCCTTGAAGATCGACCCAAGATAGCCCAAGAGGTCCCCAATTGGTCCCCTGCCACCCACTCCTGTCGTTTTCCATTGGAGCGATTCCGATAGGACCGCGCCCCCAAGGGTGGACGCGGGCGGGTCGCGGCTCGCTCCTGCGCGCGAGCCCAAGCTGCAGGCGGAGGAGAGGAGGGAGCCAACTGAAGAGTCTGGGAGACACTGGAAGGAGGGCTCCAAGACAGCGCAAGAGGGCCCCAAGACCGCCCCAGAAGCTTCCAAAACGACCCAGGAGGGCCCCAGGACGGCCCCAAGAGGGCCCCAAGAGGAGGCCCAGAGGGTGAACCCGAATGAACATGTCGAGCACTCGGCCCCGAAAAAACCTGAGGAGGCGCCAATTGGCCCCCAAGAGGCTCCCACGAGGCCCCCGAGAGGCCCAAAAGAAACTCCTAGAGGCTTCTAAACGGCCCCCAAGAGGCATCAAAAATGCTGCCAGGAGAGCCCAGAGAAGCCCAAAAGCAGAGCCGCGATCCGCCAACCGCCCCCGACGGAATCCCAAGAAGCTGAAACCCCAAGATTCCACAGGAATCGTTCCGCAAACTCCGTTTTTCACACTTACTACCGCCGCAAGCGGTCGGCGGTGCGGCGTCAACCAATGAATCTCAAATGAAATGCCCAGCCCGCCCGACCGACCCGCTTCGGGGTGCGACAGGGATGATTTATCAAGAAAATAGACGCAAGAGTAGCGGCGTCCCTCCGCCCACGTCGGCACAACCCTCACACGGATCGCGCCCCCAGGAACCCCACCGACGGCACCAACATGAGGGATCACATGGCGCAGGGAAGCACGCACGCACGCACGCACGCACGCACGCACGCACGCACACACACACACACACACACACACACACACACACTCCTACAGTTAGATGCATCTGCATAAACACGTGCGTGCACACAGATATGTAGATATACACATGTGTACATGTGGTGAATTGTAAAGATATGTGTTGGTAGCTGTATGTGAAAACAGCATGTTTTCTGGGGGTCGGCGTGAATGGCGTACGCGTATAGAGCAAAACATCTCAGGGTACGATGCAATCAAGAGAAGGTCGTCTGACATTCGAAAACCTGATGCGCAACCCATGGGGCAACCAATAGCAAGTCGTTGCTACCTCGGCAGCTGGATGCGAAACAAATGGCGCAATCACAAGCAAGTCATTGGATGTTTGACCGCCGAATGCGCAACCCATGGCGCAACCGCTAACAAACCGTCATAATATCAGCCGCCGAGCGTGCAACCTCTGGCGAAACACGTTTCAGACCATGCTATGTTCGGCAGCCGACTGCACAGCACATAGCATCATAGCAGGCCATGTTATGTTCGGCTGCCGAGTGCCCACCCTGCGGCACACCCGGTAGCAAAACATTCGGTGTTCAGCCGCCGAGTGCGCACCCCCTGGCGCAACTCCTAGCAGGAAGTTGTCGTGTCAGTGGTTTGCTGGAAGTTTAGAAGATTCTGACATGATGCGCGGTGTACCGTCATCTTCTACTATCATCGATGGGACTATGCCCCGGAATAGGCTGGATCATTGAATTCGGCATGGCTAAAGCGAATGCCCGTCAGCAAACGCGTACAGTTAACTGTGATAACGCGCGTGCGCGGAGGGGGCCGCGCGCGTACTTTTACAACTATTTGCAGCCAGATACAGCGCCAGTACTGCGATGACCAGCAGCGGCGTGCGGCGGCGGCAGCGGGAAACGGCGAGGAAAGAATCATATTATCCCCCCCCCGCGGCAGGATGAGTGGGCCTGGATTCAGCCCAGTTTGGAGTTGCCAGACTCGTGCCATCCCCAGGCGCATTGGCGGGATGGCAGCTACTCCTGGCAGGGCTCTTGATGCGGGCCGAAGCAGACAGGCGTATCCCACAAATAAAGCAATGCGCCAACTCATGGTCATGTTCGTTGTCAGGATCTGTGTTATGACCTCCAAGAACATGTAATTACGGGGCAACGTACGGCTTGGCCGCATATTCGACTCATTGTCAAGAACATGCTAAAGATCATGATCCAATCCGTGAACTAGACCATGGCAACGTTCGGCTCATCAGCGCATTCCTTCTGCAGTCGGCAATCAATGAAATCATTCTCATTCAAACGCCGATCTCCGAAATGACCGTGATGGCATTGTCCTTTTCATTTGCCTTGTCTGGCTCCAACCGCGCTCGAGGGGGATAGTCTCCCGAATTGTAATCATAAGTGCTCCACTTTCGCCACCTCCTCCCACATTCACTGTACACGTGATCGCCCAAGCATCGCGGAAACGATGTGCGTGATCAGTGGGAAATCAATGCAGGGCGGAAACTGCAAAACGGGGGGCGGAGGAAGGCACAGAAAAGAGAGGGGTCACACAGACACTCGGCCATGCGACCAGAAAGTTACAGCGGCCACTGCAGCGCCACGCAGCGCGAGACAAGCGCAATGCGCCTGCGAGAGGATGGGCACCGGGCGCGCGAGGAGGGGCGGAGAAGGGAGGCGCAGGCGAAGGCAGGGGAGGAGAAAGAAGAGGGCGGCAACAGGGGCAGGATCAGTCAGCATCGAATCGGGAAAGCGGATCGGATCGGGATGTGCGTCGGATGGAGCTGCAAGAGCACGGAGTCGAAAATGAATCGGGTCGGCCGCGCCACGATGCACAGCAGCGCCATGCAAACATCGTGCCACACCAAATCGATCACGTAACCGCACGCCCCCACACACACACACACACACACACACACACACACACACACAGACACGCAGAGACACACAGAGACACACAGAGGCACACAGAGGCACACAGAGACACACAGAGGCACACAGACACACACAGAGACACACAGAGACACACAGAGCCACACAGAGGCACACAGAGACACACAGAGGCACACAGACACACACAGAGACACACAGAGACACACAGAGACACACAGAGACACAAAGAGAGCCACAACTACAGGCACAGGCACAGGCACAGGCACAGGCACAGGCACAGGCACAGGCACGGGCAGAGGCAGAGGCACAAGCACAGACACAGGCACAGGCACAGGCACAGGCACAGGCACAGGCACAGGCACAGACACAGACACAGACACTGACGCAGACACAGACACAGACGCAGACACAGACACAGACACAGACACAGACACAGACACAGACACAGACACAGACACAGACACACACACACACACACACACACACACACACACACACACACACACACACACACACGCACACGCACACGCACACGCACACGCACGCGCACGCGCACGCGCACGCACGCACGCACGCACGCATGCACACACACACACACACACATGCACACACACGCGTACGCGCACATACACACCAGGATGCGCCACCAGCATGGCAGGCATAGCGTTACTGAAAGGCATAGCCCGATCATCTGGTCAAACAGTGGATTGAACCACGTGCAAGTGGAAAAGTAGAAGGCGAAATATGAGGATGAGGGTCAGGATGAGGATGTGGAGGAGGAGGAAGAGCGCACGTAGCTTGAATCCATGGTGGTCCAGCTACTGCCAGCGCTCTAGCACCGCATCGCGGCTAGAGCAGCGGCTCGGATTTCGTAGTGGTAAGGGGGCGAAGCGGCGCAGTG